CCGGGTTAAAGTGGGGCGTTTGTGCACTCGCCCAGGAAAGCGCGGGGGCGGCGCGGCTTGCCTGTGAGAATCTCTGCCCGCGGCATGCGCTCGCGAGCATTCGGCACCCAGGATCTGACTTTCAGAGGGTTCTCGCCCGCAGTCGCAGGGATGATCACCACAAATCTGCGCATCAATCCCAAAAAACAATCGGGATATCGTACAGAGTCGGCCTGTCGAAATTCATCATCCTGCCCACCGCTTCAGCTCAGGGGCAACGACAGGGGGGATATGCATAGCCGCACTGCGTATCGACCCCCAATGCGGGGGATGCATCCCCCGCAATGCCATAACGGGGCATGCATCGACCCCCAATCGCCCACTGATCGCCGATCGGGGCCCGATAGTCTCAACTTGCCCAAATGCGTGCTGATTCACCGTCGGGGGCCTATCGCCGATCCATCGGCGATGTGTTGCCGATGCCAGGTTGATGTGCCCCTGCCCGTGCCAGTTTCCCCCTGATCGTCGTGTCGGGCATGTCCCTCTACAGGAGGACTATCCTAACATAGTCAAGTCACAGGTAGTCATGGACAGGCCTGTCCTGTTCGATGCTTTCCCTGGTCGGATGGCGCCGGCTATGTACGCCTACGCCGAGCCTGGCCAGGATCGGCGCAGGTGCATTGTCGGCGCCCTCCTATTTGGATGAAGTCGGGCATGTCCCTCTAGAACAGGAGAAATATTCAAACATAGCCTAACAATGGTCTGGGGACGATGTTTCTAGCATGTTTGCTATCTTGGAATCTGGTTTGACATGTTTTCATGCTTCTCCCAATATCCGCCTGGAGGAGGACATGCCCTACCTAATAATTTCACGCGTTTGCCAAACGGCTTTGCTGGTCGGGGTGCTGATTCTGAGGGTGGGTCTTCTGCTCTCTACTTGTCACTTGTCCAGGATGCCCAAGTGGGGCCAGAAAGCCTGGTGTCGGAGGATCAAAGCTCGGATGGCGCCAACGATACACCTACAAAGATCCTGGCCAGGCCCGTCTTGGGTCTAGGGCCTGGGATCGGTGCATATGCCTTCCTGGCGGAGGCATGACTGCATATACACAGATTCTTGGCCCAGGATGGTATTGGCCAGGATCGGTGTGTATATATATATATATAGATATGTAGTTGGCGTCCTCCAAAAACTGCGTCGCCGCTTCGTCGGCTATGCGGCGGGATCTGGAGCACGAGTTGTTTCCATCCCGACGTTGCCGATGCACCGCCGAATTATCGGCGAGTCGGCGCGATCCTCCGATCCCATCTGCTCTGGCCCCATTCGAGTGGCCTCTACCCTGGCAGCGCTTTCCAAGGGGGCGGACTTCTTTAGAATGCACGGGTGTAAGCAGAAGGGATTTGTCCCTCGTCTGAATATGTGAGGAGTATCGTATTATTTGGGGAATTAGAGAGTTAGACTGGTAGATACGGTCGCAGACAGGTAGGGGCTATCAAGTGGCCTTCGGCCCATCCAGCTGCGGTGCCTAGGTCGTCGAGAAGATGTTTGGTACAGGCCTCTCGAGGTTTCTCAGACAGCCTGTACTACGAGGCCTATTGGACTTCTTCGGGAGCCTCTTGGGGGCTCTTGGATGTCTCTTGGGCCTCTTGGGTTTTTGTCGAGCGCCTCTTGGCGGTCCAGGAGATCATCCCGGTGGGTGGGGAGGGCTCGACATGACGGCTCGCTGTTCCGCCCCTGGGCAGCTCTCGGAGGTGGCGTCCTGGACAGTCTTGGACGCTCTTGAGACCGAACAGGCTAAGTAGAGGGTGAAACATTGTGACCTCATGCTTCCTCGGTTGTGCGCGTGCAGGGCCGTGCGGGCCTCCCGGGCCTGCCTCCTCCAAGTCCGAGGCGGCCCACGAGGCCCCAGCGAACACCCCAAGTGACGGTCCCCGGTGGCCATCGTAGCCGGGCGAAGAGGATTGTGCACCTGCACCGACCTTGGTCAGGCCCGTCTCGTCCCCAGGATGGGTGCATACTTTGTTAGTGAATTTAATTGGTTTTAGGGTTTGAATAAATGGTCGCAGCCACGCAGAGGGCGTGCGTAGCGACGCCCCAACCGTTCGGTCTCCAGTACTACTACGTGGCGGCGCCCCCGCAGGCACGCAGAGGGCACGCGTGGCGACGGGGGCGTCGCCACGCAGAGCTTCTAAAAACCACAAACATTTTGAAAACCAATTGTTTCCACTACCTATACGACCACCCTTCGGATGATAAGGAGGTTCGGGGGGGAGGAACCAACGTCTCACTCGATCGGTCTCACTATCGATCTCACTATCGATCTCAGTATCGGTCTCGCTCGATCGATGTCCCTCGATCGATCTCACAATCGATCTCACTCGATCTATCTCACAATTGATTTGACTATCGATCTCACAATCGATCTCACAATCGATCTCACAATCGATATCACATTCGGTCTCACTATCGATTTCACTATCGATATCACAACCGCTCTCACAATCAACGTCATCATCATCATCATCATCATCAACAACAACATCAACATCAACATCATCATCACCAACATCATCATAATCGGGACACCGTCCTCATCATCAACACCAACATCATCATCATCATAATCATCAGCATCATCATCATCATCATCATCATCATCATCACGGTCATCAACATCATCGGGACACCACCATCATCATCATCATCACCATCATCACAATCATCATCATCAACATCATCATCATCATCAGCAGCATCGGGACACAGTCATCGTCATCATTATCATCAGCAGCATCATCATCGGGACACCATCGTTAGCATCATCATCATCATCATCATCATCATCATCATCATCATCATCATCGGAACACCATCATCATCATCATCATCATCTCATCCTCATCATCGACATCATCATCATCAGCATCATCAGCATCATCATCAGCATCATCATCGTCGTTATCATCGGGGCACCATCATCATCATTCACAACATTAGCATCAACATCATCATCATCATCACCATCGGGACGCCATCATCATCAACATCATCACAATCACCATCACAATAATCATCATCATCATCGGGATCGCCATAATCATCATCAACCTCATCAGCATCAACATCATCATCAACGGGACACAATCATAATCAGCATCATCAACATCAACATCATCATACTCATCACCATCGGGACACCATCATCGTCATCATCATGATCATCAACATAATCATCATGATCATCATCATCCTCATCATCGGGACACCATCAGCATCATCATCATCATCGTCATCATCATCATCATCGACATCATCATCATCATCATCATCATCATCATCATCATCGGGACACCATCATCATCATATCATCATCATCATCATCATCGTCCTCATCATCATCAGCAGCATCACCATCATCATCATCGACGTCATCATCATCAGCAGCAACATCATCATCATCATCAGCAACACCATCATCATCATCATCATCATCATCATCATCATCATCATCATCTTCATCATCATCATCTCATCATCATCAGCAGCAGCAGCAGCAGCATCATCATCATCATCATCATCATCATCATCATCGCGGGACACCGCGGGACACCGGGGGACACCGCGGGGCACCGCGGGACACGCGGGACTTTCGCGGGACACCGGCGGGACACCGCGGGCCACCGTCCGCCAGGAAGGGAGTCATTTGGTCCGGCCGCGCCTCAGCCACACGGGACTTTCGCGGGACACCGGCGGGACACCGCGGGCCCCCGGCCGCCCGGAAGGGAGTCATTTGGTCCGGCCGCGCCTCAGCCACAGGAGTTTTTCTCTCGCCCGCCCACGCAGCTTCGCCTCGCCCGCACGCACGGCACGCACGAACACGAAACCGAAATCGATTTCCCGGTAGGGGGGCTCTCCGTTCCACTTCGATCTCACCCCCTCACCTCCGACTAAAGTAGAGGGTGAAACATTGTGACCTCATGCTTCCTCGGATGTGCGCGTGCAGGGCCGTGCGGGCCTCCTGGGCCCTGCCTCCAAGTCCAAGGCGGCCCACGAGGCCCCAGCGAGCACCCCATGACGCTCCCCGGTGGCCATCGTAGCCGGGCGAAGAGGACTGTGCACCTGCACCGACCTTGGTCAGGCCCGTCTCGTCCCCAGGATGGGTGCATATGCCTTCCCGGCCGAGGCAGGAAGGCGTGAGCGCCGATCCTGGGCCCAGGCTGGGCCTGGCCAGAATCGGTGTACGTGCATAGTTCTCTCTCCTCTACGCAGGGCACGTGGGACGTGCGGACTCCCCACCACGCTCCAGGGACCTCTGGAGGTCGTGGGAACGCTGTGCAGCGCTCGCGACCCTGGTGCCTGGGCCTCTTGAGTGGTACTCGCAGTATCGAGCACGCAGAACTCGAAGGGCCCGAGGACACTCCGCTCGGTGCCCTGCGGTGCGGTGGCGGATAGTACAAGGTGGTAATCAGAGCCCCGAATCATCAGGGGTAACTCGGGTCAGGGATAACTCGGGTTCGTTTTTCGGGAATCCAAACCCGAGTTACCCCGGACCCGAGTTACCCCGGATAACTCGGGCGTCCAGAGCCCCGAATCATCAGAGGTAACTCGGAACAGGGGTAACTCGGGTTCCTTTTTCGGGAATCCAAACCCGAGTTACCCCGGACCCGAGTTACCCCGGATAACTCGGGCGCCCAAGGTAAGGCAGGGAGTTGTGTGTAGACATTAAACGATAGTTCGACATACCCACCTACATAGATGTATGTACATCTGCACATTGCTATATACTGTGTTCACAAATGTAGTGCTTGTACTCCTGGAGCCTGGGCCGTATCTCGCCTGAAACGCTTCGGTGCCAAAGGGTTGTGAATCGAACGACGGCTTTTCAAACGACATGCTCTGATCCGTAAACTTACGGCTCAAGTTTTTTCAGGGTCCAATGCCCTTGCAGGGAGCCCAACGTCTCCTTCTCGCGGCCATCACAGGTGCTTGGCTGGCCCCCTCTCCGCTGCGAGTCTGGCTGGGCATGCCAGGCGACACCCTTCGGGCGCCGATCTGCGCCGCCCCTGCTCCGGCGCCGCGGCTGAACGTGAGCTGCCCGGAGGTGTTCCCAGACTTCGCAGGGGTGCTGGAGGAGCTCCGGTCGCAGCGTGCTGCGCGTGAGCGCCAGGCTTCAGCGGCCGAGGAGCTGTCGGAGACCGTCCGAGGTGGAGTTCCGTGGTACGTGGAGGTGGCTACGGCCATCGCCGGCAGTCTTGCCCTCTACGCCAACGTAGTGATCGGGTGTGCTTGCTCGTTCGTGGTCTTCTGCATCGATGGCTGCCGCCGTTGTCGCCAGGCCTGGGCTCCAGTCGGGTCAAAAATTGCTGCTATTGTATGGGGACGAGCCGACCCTCTGGCACGAGGCGAGTGTCTTCGGAAGAGTTCCGAGACGAGCTACAGGAGTGTCCACGGGGAAGGACCCGCCGGCGAACCACTGGTTCTGGTGGATCTTGACGGCCGACGGCGACGCGCACCCGCAGGATCTCTCCGCGCCCAGGGATCTGCAGGCGTTGCGCTTGCTTGATGCGGAGGGCGAGGTGACTGGCACCATGTACGGCCGAGGGCCCGCTGCTGTGTCTCGCCATGCCTTCCGCGCCGGGCGTGGGGAGGGGTCGCTTGACGTGCCGCTCTTCCTCCGCGCCAAGGGCGCAGCCGACGATGAGGAACGGAAAGAAGCTGGAGGTGGAGACTTGCTTGCTGCCCGCTCGCCGCCAGCCGCTGCGAGTGGTAAGTTGTGGAGGATCTCCTACTCGTCCGACCAGGCCTTCGCCCGTGGCGCCGAGTTTCAACCAGGTATCGACGGTCACCACTTCACTCTCGTCAAGAAAGGCGACGCTGACACGATGGCGGTGAGTACTTCAGGTGGGGTGGTGCAGTGTCACTCCATCTCCGCCGAAGCCATGGATGAGGATGCCGACGCGAGGTCCCTCCCAGTGACGTGGCGGAACAACGCTCGCCGCCGTCGTTCCGTTGAGGCCGTCGACCTGATGCAGCACCACGACTACGGGGACTCGCCTCTTGATGGAGAACCCCCCATGCTCTGGCATCTGGAGGAGATTGCGCGCAGTGGTGAGGGCGGTCCCGTCCAACGTCACTACAACTGGGCTTATCAGCTCAATGCGGGGGGTGGCGACCGCTCCGTGCATGAACATTTCTGTATCATGAAGGTTCTCGAGCTGGCGGCGGAGGTCGATCAGCTCAACACCCCCACCCTGGTGTCGCTGGAGGCGCTCGGGGGGCGCGCCATGCTGATCGAGCAGACGCATCTCAACTCGCCTGGTAGCCCCGATTACACTGGGGCCGACGACTTCATGGGTTGGGGGCCTGGACGGGGCAAAGCCTTGGTCGCACCTACTCTCGTCAAGCACGTGGCGGAGAAGGCCCGCGACAAGGCATCAGCGCACGCGGAGCTTCGGAAGCACAACGAGGAGTTGCGTTTGAGGAGGCCGCCCAAGGGCCCCAAGAAGGAGGGCCAGGGCGGGGATCATTCGCGACGGACGAGTTCGGAAGGGGGGCCCGAGATCTAGGGCGCTCACAGCCTCTCAGCTTGGTTTTCTCGCTGGCGTTGTTGCCGAAGGGCGTGGCGTTCCGCGGGAGCTACCTCCATCGCATGTGCCTCAGGGGCCTGCTGCAGGCTCGCATCTCTTTCGTGGTGTTCGGCAACGCGCCCATGTTCGGCGTCGGCTCACGGATGAGGTGAAAGAGAACATATGGGCCCTCAACTTGTTCGCGGGGTCTTCCGCGACCGACGCGAAGTTTTCGCCGCTGGGGCAGCGTGCCACGGTGGGCCACCTGTGCGACACCATCAACTTTCTTCGGCCGCCGTCCGAGGTGGTCTCTGACGAGGAAGCCATGCGTGCGCTTCTCGGGAGTAGAGCCCCTTGCGCTGGGGACGATGGCTTGACGGTGGTACCCTACGACCGTGCCCTGGTGTCGATCCCTGGTGAAGGACGGGTTGACGCCCCGCTGACCGAGGTGCCGCCGCCAGACGCCGCAAAGATGATGGTAGATGTTGACACCCACCTGCTCAAGGACGACGACCAGCGGGGCGCGGAGGTGGAGCGGGGTCTCGAGCACATTGTGTCTTACATGGACCCTCGGCTTCGTTTCAGCCGCCGCAGCTATCTCAACTTCATAGGGGACCTGTTCAGAGGTGGGCTACTCGCATGGCGACGAGCCGACCAAGTTCGAGGCAGGATGTCGGTATTTTTTTGTACGGAAGAAGTGGGCAAACAGCGTCTTGTCGTTGACTGCAGGCGCATCAATGCCCGCTTCCGAGAGTGTCCGCACGTTCCGATGGGCTCGGGGGCTTCTTGGGCCGATGTCGTGATGGACACGGGCACTGATATGTAGCTCTCTTTGAGTGACGTGAAGGATTATTTATATGCGTGCGGGCTGCCACCGGGGCTGACATTACAGGTGGCGAGCTGAAATCGATCACCAACGGAGACCCCGCCTTCGGCTACCTTTGGAGCGCCGACGCCGTCGCGCACGCGACGAGGGTGATGCCGATGGGCTGGGCGCGGAGCTTCTTCTTTTCGCAGATCCTGCACGCGCACCAGGTCAGCCAGATCAGGGACTGGGCCCCAGGCGCGGTCATGCAGGATCACGTCCCACCGCCCCCCTTTCGGGCGGGTTCCGAGCTGGCGCTGCCGTACTGCGACAACTTCGTGGCGGCTGCGTCCTCCAAGGCCCAGGCCGACGCCCTCCGCGAGGACTGCAAGCGGAGGCTGACCTCGCTTGGTCTTGAGGTTCACGAGGAGGAAGCTGCGCGGCGTTGGGCCGAGTCCTTGGTTCGGGATCGACGGGCTGACGGGCGAGCATCGCGCGAGTCCAGCCCCGCTTGAGTCGCCCGCGGCCCTTGCTCAGCGGCCGCCAGCTAGAGCGGCTCTTGGGCCACGCGACCTTCCAGTTCCTGGGGCGCAGGCCGCTGCTCTCGATCTTCCGCAGTTGCTACACCTTCGTGCAGTGCCACTGCCTCCAACCGCGGCGGCTCTGGTGATCTGCTGCCGAGGAGCTCCGGGCAGCTGCTGCCATGTTGCCCTTCGCGAGGGCTAACGCGCGGCGACCCTGGGCGTCCGAGGTGGAGGTGTCCGACGCCAGCCCCGCGGGATGCGGCATCCTGTCCGCGTCGCTGCCAGAGGGGGTGGTCTCGGAGATCGGGAAGACTGACGAACGCTGGCGGCGCGCATTTCAGTATGAGCAGCCGGGGGGGGGGGGGCCGTGAGCATGCGCTTCGGGCGGCCCCGCCAGTGGAGGAGTGCTTCTCCAACGTAGATACCGTGCTCCCCCGCGGCTGGTCTAGAAGGCGCCGGCAGCCCGCGCAGGACTTTCCAGAGGTCCCGCCTTCCATTTTCAAGGACTTCGAGCGGCGAGAGTGCGTCGCCGGCAGTTGGAGGGATGAAGAGCACATCACGATGCTTGAGGGTCGCACGGAGCTGATCTCTGTGCGTCGCACCTGTCGGTCGCTGCTCAATCGTGGCAGGCGGCATCTTAAGATTGGTGACAACATGGGGATGATCCTTGCCATGTCCAAGGGGCGGGCTGACAACTTCGGCCTGTTGATGTTAGGCCGGAAAATGCAGCCCTCACTGTCGCCATGGACATGACGGTCCGGTGGCGATGGATTCCCTCAGAGATCAACGTCGCCGACGCCGCTTCCCGTCGTTATCTCACCGACATCCACCGCAGCCGCGAGCGTGGCCTTGCACGCCTCAAGCTTCGCCGAGGCGCTGACGTTGGTCCGCTGGCTGCGGGGCTCACAGCAGATGAGGCGGCTGCCCTCTCCGAGGCAGGCCAAGCGGCCCCATGGTGAGGCGCCTGCTGGTCGAGGGTCCGCGGGTCGCCGGGCCCTCCAGCCCCCCACCGCCAGGCGCCCTCCTGCCCCCGAGGGGGCAGCGGGAACCTGCCGCCGCCGTCGCGCCTGAGTTTGAAGGCGGCGGCGCCGGCGGCTACATTGCCCGCCAACGCCGATCGGAGCCGCAAGCTGCAGACATTGGCGCGTCGGGCTCGGGCGACGCACCGCCAGGCGGCCGTCGAGGCGGGGGGCCGCAAACTCCAGGAGGAGCTCGAGCTGAGGGGGATCGTGGTGAGCCTTCTCGAGAGAAGTCAGTTGGGAAGCAGTCGATCCCTTACTACTTCCAGAAGTACAGGGAGTTCTTGGACTTCGCGGTCGACCACGGCTTCGACCTCAGCAAGGACGAGGACGTGGACGAGGCGCTGGTGCAGCTGATGGACCTCCTGTACTTGGATGGGTGGCAGGTCGACCAGGGCGAGAAGCTGCTCGCCGCCGTGAAGCTGGCATCCCCCGTTTCTCCAAGACGGGGCGAGGCGGCCTGCCTCGCGCGGCCCGCGCGTTGCGTGGGTTCCGCAAGGCCGCTCCGGTGGCTTGCCGCTTCGGGCTGCCGCGCGCGTGGGTGATCGCGATCGTGGCTGCCATGCTCTGGCGCGGGAGGCTCGAGAACGCCCGTCGGGTGGTGGTGATGCACGACGCGCACCTGCGCGCTGGCGAGGCGGCGCGGCTCTGGGCCGAGGACTTCGTCCCGCCGGTGAGCAGCCACCGCGGCCACGAGCGCGGCGCGCTCATCCTCGGCTCCCCAACCAAGACAGGCGTGCTGGACGACGCGGTCACGCTAGCGGATTGGGGCTTCCCGGTTACCAAGGCGCTGCTGCTGCTGAAGGGCCAGCGTGCCCCACACGAGCCGCTGCTCGTGGCAAAGCCTGGGGTCTTCAGGAAGGATTTCGACCAGGCCTGCCTCGACCTCGGGCTCAAGAAACGGAACCTCACCAGCTAATTACCAGCTCCGCCACAGCGGTCCCAGCCGGGATGCACTGATCGCCCGTCGTTCGCTCCCAGACATCATGAAGCGCGGCAGGTGGGCCACCATCTCGTCGGCAAAGAGGTGCGAGAGGCACGGCGTGATGCAGAAAGCTCTGGCCAGCAGTCACAAGGAGCTCCTCGACTTCGCCGCGGCTGCCGAGTCCTCCATCGAGGGTGCGCTCCTTGGGCAGCCGTCCCGACTGCCGCGGCCTCCCCGTGCGTGACGCGGAGATGGGCCGTGGAGGTCTTCTCTGGCTCTGGGCAGTTGGCGCGCGGGTTGGCGAGAGCCGGAATGCCCGCCGAGGCGTGCGACGTCGCCGACGGACCCGCTGGAGACTTTCTTCGGCCAAATGTAGTGAGGCATCTTAGAGACAGGATTCGGTCAGGCTGTTTCTGTCTTATGTGGTCCGGAGTCCCTTGCAACACTTTCTCTCGCGCCACCGATCGGCCGAATGACCCGCGCCCCCTCCGTTCAAACACTCATTTTCATGGTCTTCCTGAGCTTGATGCAAAGCAGAATGCACGCGTACAGACTGCGAGCAGACCAGTGCGCATCGTGTGTAGTCTCGCACGTGATTGTATTAAGCGCGGTATCCCTGGGGTGATTGAAAATCCTCGCGCGCCCCGTCTTTGGCTCTTGAGCGAGATACGACACCTTGAGAAGAGCGCGTCTTCCGTTGTTTTAGACTACTGTATGTATGGAATGCCTTGGAGGAAATGTACCCGTTTCTCGGCACGCTCCGAGGAATAGAATCGTGGGAGCGCCGATGCACAGGGAGAGTCTGTCGGCGCACCGGCCATCGCCGCCAGGTCCTGGAAGGCAAGGACGCCTCAGAGGTGTTCTGGACCCGGAGGGCAGAGCCATATCCCACTTCTCTTTGTAATGCTATCTCCTCCTCTGTCGTCGCCTCCCTCCCTCCTCTCCCCAATTAGAACAGCTTTCTGGTGCTGGGGACGGCTTGTGGGCCCTCGCAGTGTTTGACGATTCACACATGTCAGACTCGCTCGGTCCCAGTTTTTAGGCAGGCGATGCTTCCCATGTAGCTTTTTTATATGATTCCAGTTTCTCTGGTCTTGGCAGAAAGGAGTGCTTGAATAATGGGGTACTCCTGGAGCCTGGGCCGTATCTCGTCTGAAACGCTTCGGTGCCAAAGGGTTGTCAAGCTAACGACGGTTTTTCTAACGACATGCTCTGATCCGTAAACTTACGGCTCAAGTTTTTTCAGGGTCCACCTGCCTCCTCTCCTTTTCCCTTTCCCTCTGGGTTGTGGGCCCTCGCAGTGTTTGACGACTCACACATGTCAGACTCGCTCGGTCCCAGTCTTTAGGCAGGCGATGCTTCCCAGGTAGCATCTTCATATGATTCCAGTTTCTCTGGTCTTGGCAGAAAGGATTTGTATCTGGCCGAGGGTTTGGGCCCCCCCAATGCTAATGCCATCGGGCCCCCCCCCCGCGCGATGCCCCCCCCCCCCTTTGTGGGCGTGGGCGTGGCGTGGTGGCTCCCCCCCCTGTGGATGTGGTGTGGGTGTGGTGTGTTGCTGTGGGTGTGTGCGGGGTGACGCCATGGTCCTCCTCCCCCTCCCTTGCCCCCTGTGGGTGCGGTGTGAGTGCGGCGTGTGGCTGGGATTGGCGTCATGTTGACAGCTCCGGTGCTCGACGTCGTCGCCGCCGCCGCTGGTGGTGCCGTCGACGTCGTCGTCGCTGTCGTCGTCGTCGTTGTCGGTGTCGTCGTCGTCGTCGTCGTCGTCGTCGTCGCGGTCGTCATCGCCGTCGTCGTCGTCGTCCTCCTCCTCCTCCTCCTCCTCCCCCCCCCCATCCCATCTGGGGGGGGGGCCCGAGGACCCTGGGACCCATCCCATCTGGGGGGGGGCGGCCCGTGGGCCCTGAGCCCGCGATCATATATATATATATATATATATATATATATATATATATATATTAATATCACTGCATCCGTGCATTGTTGCATAGCTAGGTAATACCCTACGTTTTTAGGTAGGCGGAAGTCGGCATCCACAGGTAAACATCAGAACATCCACCATACCGGTATGCAGACAGCGTTCGACAGCCAGGTATATGGCCACACAGCTACATAGGACGTTGCAGACCCTTGCAAGAGTAGTCCGCAGATCTAGCACCTGCAAATCACCTAACTGGGGAACGAGCTTGATAGATGCAGGTCGAGAAGAGCTTACTACTTTTGCGCGCGCGGACATGACACCGAATTCATTTTTCAAGAAGAAGCGGATGCGCGGGATATCAATGCCAGTACACGTCAGTATCAACATTTGCCCCGCAGAGGTATCGCTCTCATTGGGGCGATTGGAAAATGGTGCAGAGTTTCAATCATAGGTATTGTGAGGGCACGTGTGGAATGTATAGTGCATTTCGATCCATCCCGCCACTATGTTAAGGCTATGGGTCAACGGCCTCTTGGATGCATATTGGATCATCTATGGGAAGGGTCTCTTGGGATGTCTCTCGGAGGCATCTTGGATGCATTTGTGCTGCCTTCTGGGGGCCCCTTTGGGGCGTCTGAGGAACCTGTTGGGGCCTGTCCAGGGGTCTCTTGGAGGCCTGCTGGCGGTCTCGCGGGTCATGATGTTGATGATGATGATGATGATGATGATGATGATGATGATGATGATGATGATGATGATGATGATGGTGGAGGTGGTGGTGGTCGTGGTGGTGGTGATGATGAGGAGAAGAAGGAGGATGAGGAGGAGGAGGAGGAGACGGAGGAAGAGGAAGAACGTCACATGTAACACCTTGTTCACTGTTCGAGGAGCTCTCATGATGATGATGATGCTGATGCTGATGCTGATGCTGATGATGATGATGATGATGATGAATGATGGTGTCAGTGATGATGGTGTCAGTGATGATGCTGATGATGATGGTGATGACGATGGTGAGGGGAATAATGAGGATGAGGATTATGATTGTGGGTGTGATGGCGATGCTGATGATGCTGCTAAGGCTGATGCTGATGAGGGCGATGATGATGGTGCTGATGTTGATGATGATGATTATGATGATGGTGATGCTGAAGATGAAGATGAACATGATGATGATTATGATGATGCTGATGATGATTATGGTGATGGTGATGATGAAGAGGATGATGACGATGATGATGTTGATGATGAATCATATCATTATGATGATGATGATGATGATGATGATGATGATGATGATGATGATGATGATGATGATGCTGATGATGATGATGATGATGATGATGATGGTGATGGTGATGGTGATGGTGATGGTGATGGTGATGGTGACGGTGACGGTGACGGTGATGGTGATGGTGATGGTGATGATTGTGGTGATGGTTATGGTGGTCGTGATGGTCGTGGTGGTGGTGATGATGATGACGAGGAGAAGGAGGAGGAGGAGGAGGAGGAGGAGACGGAGAAAGAGGAAGAGTGTCACGTGTAACACCTTTCGTCTTCACTATTCGAGGAGCTCTCATGGACCTCGTTTGGGCCATCTTCGGGCTGTCTTGGCCTCTTGTAAGCAATCGTGGGGGTCCCTTGAGACCCTCTAGGGCTATCTGGGGCCCCTCCAGACCTCCAGAGCGTCCTCTTGGAGCCTTCTTCGGGGGTCTGCATGGCTTTTGTGACCGTCTTGAAGCCATATTCGGCCGTGTTGAGGCCAAAGTGTGTCGTCTTGGAGCCGTCTTGGACGGGAGCGCGATCCAGTCGTATGTGGCGAGGGGTTGTGGTCTCGGGAGCACAAATCAATGGCATGTTGCGAGGGGTTGTGGCATCGAGAATGGGGGCGGCGCAGCGTGGCGAGAGAGGGGATGCCCTAGAAGATTTCAGATACCCTACAGTGGGAGCGCGCATCAAGAAGCCATATGCCTTTCGTCAGGGTATCCTGGGTCTCTTCGCTCCGCGCGCTGCGCGGTGGCTTTCCGCAGCCGTTGAAGAAGTTGCTGCGTTCAGGGTGCTTCGGGCTTCCCCTCGGGTGCACCTCGCGAGCGGGTTTTCAGGACTGGGTTTCTTGCGTGGGTTGCTCGCGGCCGCGCCCGCACTGCACCAGACAGCGCTCGGCATCCTAGCACGCCCCGACGTCCCAGGGGGGCGCGGCGGCGGATATGTGCCGCATGGCAAACAGTGTCGGCTCGCACCAATCAAAAAAAAGCTCGGTCGGCGCCGCCAGTCCGCGCGACGCCCCTCGATGACATCGTCTTGAGGTTAGTCTTGCGAAGACCCCGAGGCACTGCAGAGGCTTCAAGAGAGGCTCCGGGATGCTCCAAACGCAGCCTCCGTCGCCATTTGGTCTCGAGCACGGCCTGGTGCAAGCAACCGTCGCGATCTCGGCCCCTTCCTCGCCTGCCGCAGGCGCCGCGGCGTGACGCCTCGGTGGCATGGTGCTGCCGAGCAAAGCAGGCGCCTTCCCTACGTGCCTCCTGCTCGCCGGTCTGCTTGCCGCTACGGTTGCTGCAAGCCCAGGGGCGCCGGCGACTTGTTCCGCCGATGGAGGTGATTGCGAGATGGAAGAGACCGCCTTGCTGAATGTGCAGAAACGCTCGAGGTGCAGCAACCCCTTCGTCGTCCAGCCAGGAGGCACTTGCGATAGCCTTTTTGTTGCATGCCCATACGGGCACATCACGTGCGGCGCCCATCCCGATTCTATTGTCTGCGCACGCGGGATGAACCCGTTGTTCCCTTTCTTTATCGACAACGATTTGCAGGCGGGATGGACGTGCACATTTGAAACACCATGAGAAGCAGTGAGCAGCGGCGCACTTGAGGTTTAGGGTGTTGCCTCTTCTCCACCTCCAGTTTCCATTCAAGATCGCACATAGCCAGCACACGCGCGCAGATACGTCCACTCAAGGTCCTCTTCGCCCCCCCCCCTCCCCCCCCAGGAGCCGGAGCGCAATTTCAATAACGGGAGCGCCTGGCCTCAGTGGAGCGCCTTTTCAACAAGTTTTGGGTTCGCTCCCCGCTCGGCTGGTTCCACGTGTACAAATGCCTCGCCTCACCACGATTGGCTCTCGCGGCGCGAAGGAAAGAGTGGCCCCCAAACGTGCACCCGCGAGAGGTGCCCGCCGCCGCCCGACGAGGACCCCCCGGGGAGGGGCTCTCCGCGAGGCCCCCGGAGCGGGCCTGGGTTGCCGACGCCCCGTGCAGGGCTTTTCGGCAGGGGTGCTCCGGAGGCTGCGGGGACGTCCCCTCAGACCCGGGGGCATCTTGGGCCGGGGACGCCTGGTTTCGGGGGCGGCCAAGAGGGGGGTGATGACCAGGGGGGGGGGGGATAGCGGGGGCCATGATCTTTCCCCAGCTGTCATGGCGCCTCTTCTTATTTCATGACGTCCCTGGCCCCCCCGCTGGGCCGCGCACATGCCGCCGGTCATGATTTGCACCCCCCCCTCTTGGACACCCCTCTCTTGGCCGCTCCCGATGTTTGGCACCACCTGGGCATGGGCGCCTCACGTTCACGGCCGTCCGCGTGGTTCTCGGGGTTGCGGCTGCCCTGGAGTCCTTTTCGGGTGGAATACGGAATATCCAAAAATAGTCAAAAAGATAGTCCAGAGGCGATTTTTCTGGCAATGTTTGACTATGTTGGTGCATGTGTTTTGAGTATGTGTATTTTTTCGTCGACGCTCGGCCTGTCGGAAGACATGCCCGACCTGACTCAAGTCGGAGCAAGCAGAGCTATGCCAGGCAGCTCGCGCCTCGGCCCCCGACTGGCCCCCACGTCGAGGGGCGAGCACAGATGCGGGCACGGCACTGCGCTCGCTGGATGCGTGGCCCCGGGTGGCGCTGGATCGGCGAGGATCCCAAATTTGCGAACTCGCTGCGCCTCGGGTTATGATGCTCCAACCTACTTTAGCCTTGACCACCAGGAAGAATTTCGAGCGCCCAGAAAAGTACCGAAACTCAAGGGTTTTCACGTGTCGGGCCCTGGGAGACACTCGCCCGACGTTGTTTCGACATTGTTTCGACACTCTTTTGACACTTTCCCGGGTGCTCGAAATTATTTCTGGGATGCGGTCCTTAAGTAGGATGGGAACAACATAAGCCTCGGTGTCTGCACCGACGCACACAACGTGTGCGGGCGAAACCTCTGAATTCAAGCGCATGCGGATGCGGCCCAGGTCGACGCACTGCTGTTCCGGATTCCAGAACATCTCATAGAGAGACATTTGGCTAACAGCTCGCTGCCATCAAAAGTTCCTCCCCCCCGGCTGCCGAGGCACTCATTGCAAAGGCCATTCAGGGATCAAGGCCCGGTCCGACACCCTACGTCTGGGTAAGAAGAGTTTCGTTATTTCGTTGATGTGGGTTTGCTTAGTTGCGGAACTGGTACAACTGGATAGAATTGGTCACAGAACTGGTCATATAATTGGTCCGTTAAAGACAGGGGCCAGCATAGAACTGGTCGACATTCTAAAAAGAAATGATTGGGATATTCAAAATGTTAGATTTTGAGACGACCAGTTCTATGCCTGATCCTATTCTAAATGGACCAGTTCTATGGCCAGTTCTATGACCAGTTCTATCCAGTTGTACCAGTTGTACCCGCTCCACGCACTTCTCCACGCAAAGGGAAGCCGCTGGGCTGCCAGGGCGCGCCGTTGCTTATTTCCCAACCATCCTGTGGCGTTGTGTCCTCGTTTTGAAATAACGGTCCCCGCGTTCTCCTCCTCCTCCCCCTCCTCCCTCCTCCATCACCATCATCATCACGAGTTTCAGCACACCCCTCACACGTTTCGTGGCCCCATAGGGAGCCCCACCGAAGGTCCCAGTGCTACCGTCCGCATGCGTCCCGCAAACCCAGTACAGCGTTTCGTGGCCCCAGAGGGAGCCCCACCGAAGGTCCCAGTGCTACCTTCCGCATGCGTCCCGCACACCCAGTGCAGCGCTTCGTGGCCCCATAGGGAGCTTCACCGAAGAAGATATTCACAATTGCGGTACCCACAACTGCATACAGTATGGTTGGGTCCTTCGTCAGGATAATTTTTATGTTTGGGCCCCGCGTTTCGTTGTTTGGACCCCGCGTTTCATTTCGCGTTGCGTTGCATGTCCGCGGTTCGCATTGCAGTGTGTTGAGTGCGCATCATCGCCACCATCACCGCCATCATCACGCGCCGTCGTCAACTTCACGCGTGACCATTGCGTTGCTTGGACTCGAGTTGCATGGCCAGGGGTCCTATCCTTCGCGTGAGACGCACACGCATTTGAAGCAGCTCGCATCAACGGCATAACCACCTTGACAGTATCGATTACACGGTGGGAGGACTGAAAATGTCCACGCGTGTTTTGCCAAGACCTTGAGTCATTAAAGCACGTCGGGCCAACATGTACACCCCCCTTCCCCTAAATTCAAAGTTGACGGGTTATGGTGGTAGGCCAAAGTCCAGGGACAACATGTGGACTTTTCAATTTTGGGTTTGGGGGGGAGGGGTGCGAAGTGAGGGCATTTCGGAGTTGTGGTTGCTATCATGTTGCATCGCCTTCCCGCCATGGGTGTGGACACTTTTTGTCCGGGCACCATAGTCGGCGAATAGAGCTGGACTCAACGCCAAAAGAAGGGACTCGTGGGAGGGGTACGGTGTCAGATGTGGCACGACCGCACCTGGCTAGACCCAAAAACTCGTCCTTCCCCTCCTCGTCTCTGTTTAGATCTTGACGGCCTGGTGATTCTTCATCCGGGCATACACGACGGTAGGTACCACCCCTGTTCATGCGAAGGGACATCGAATGGGTATGAAACAGTGGGGTTGTGAACGGTGTCATCCCGGATGTCTCATCCAGCCCTTCGTGTCCACCTCTTCTTCCTCGGGCTCTCTTCTACACTTCCCTTCCGGCCTCCGTTTCCCATCTCCTCCCTTTGCCTCTTTCTCTTTACGCCTCTCCTTACAGCCTCTTCGCACAGTTCGCCCGCCAGATGATTCCCTCGTTTCGCTACCAGGAAGCTGTGTTCCCATGGCGTGGCCGGCCTGGGCGATGGCTCGATACGCTTGTGGCCGCATGCTCTCCAGCGCTCGGGCCTCGTGGTGTGGAGGGCGACGCTGGCTCCTCCGGGACTCCCGGATCGGACCTCGGGTCCCTGTGCGCGTGTTTACTTTTCATCCAGCTGCCTGCGGCAAGTCCCCCCACCGTGCCAGCCCAGCATGCTGGGCGGCGACTGGTTCGAGGGTGGGAGAGCTGTGATGGGGATGAGGGGATGATGGTCAGGATGATGATGCCGACGATGTTGCTGAGGCTGAGGTTGTTGATTGTGCTGATGACGATGATGGTGATGATGCTGATGATGATGATGATGATGATGATGATGCTGATGATGCTGATGATTTTGATGCTGATGATGCTGATGCTGATGCTGATGATGATGATGCTGATGCTGATGATGATGATGATGATGATGATGATGATGATGATGATGAACGTTGGAAACCCGACAAGGCGAGGACTCAATGGGAGATTTCGCGCCTTCCTCGGGATGATATGATACAGACATCGCCCGATGGACTCACACCCGTCAACACAAGAGGAGGAGGAGGAGGAGGAACAGGAAACGGAGTGGGAAGGAGTCAGGAGAAAGAAAGAGAAGACCAGGAGAAAACGTGAGGAGGCGAAGACGGGGAGAGAGAAGCAAAGTGAGGATGACGAGGTAGAGTTACAACCAAGTTTGCCGTCGCCGCTCGGACTCGACCCCCCTGCCTCCCTCTGAGACAGTAAGAGACTGGTTGCCGCTCGAGATGTCCTTGCAATTCATTCGAGCAGGAGGAGGGTCGTGGGGTCCCCGGAGATGCGGACGTGGGCGGGGACGAGGATGAGAACGAGAGAGATGAGTGACGCATTGCGGGTAAGAACGAGAGTGGTGACGAGGGTCAGAGTGATGATGTGGATTATGACAGGGTGAGAGTGAGGTTGTCTTGTATTGGGCGCCGGTGAGGGTTTGAGTGACGGTTTGAATGAGGATGGTTCCCCGAGGGTCCCAGAGGTTTAGGAGACTGCCGCAGGTAAAACGTGAGCGGAACATGCGCGTAAATCTCAATTTTCGATATTGGATGAGGTGGGGGAGGAGGGGGACGAGGAGAGTGGTGGTTTCGAACCGAAATTCCAAATTGTATTTCTCTCCAGTCCGGATTTGGCCTGCCTTGACACGTGTTTCCAGAGTTCTGTTTTGTCTTTCAGTTTTTTTTTCCTTGCTTGTGGGTTCGGGATTCGAGTACCTTGTAGGCCTCCGAGATGCGGCGTACAAGGGGTAGCTCGTGCCTTCTCATGCAGAGCGCGCGATCGATTTTGTTATGTTGCGAAGCGATTGCTTCTATATCTACATGCACGTGTACGCATACATAGTATATTTGTGTATATATATATATGTATATATACACAAGTCTGTCCATACACACATGTGTAGGCGTGTGTATGGAAACCGTGTGTGTTTAGCGGCGTTGAACCTCTCAACATTGGCCCGTCCATCGCGTGACCACAGTTCAGTCGGGCGTGTCCCTCTACAGGGGGAATATTCAAACTGGGGACGATGTTTCGACTGTTTGACGTATTTGGAGGCATTTCTAGACTAGCTCTTATCTTCCGTCCAAAATCCGTCTGTGGGGGGACATGCCCGACCTAAGTTTAGCGGCGTCGAACCTGGCATCATTGGCCCGTCCCTCGCGTGACTACAGTCGGGGCCCTGAAGAAGGAACCCTTTTTGTTTGGGAGGGGCTCCGCGTTCCTTAAGCGTTTCGCAGCTTGCCTCAGGTTTCCCTTATGTTTTCGATCGGAAATCGAAGGTTAACTTATGGAAAAAAGGGGCCTCGTTCCTTATTTAGGGTTCCTTAGGTCAAGGCCCCGACTGTACAGCCAAGGCGCCCCGCAAGGGCGCGCGCCTTCCTCTGGGGTGCCCTCGTGTCCCCTGCCTCCCAGCAGGGGCGCGCGCCTTTCTCCAGGGTGCCCCCGTGCCCCTGCCTCTGCGGCCCGTCCTCTGCCGTATTCCCTGGTCCTTGGCCGCCCGCCGCCCCCCCCAAAATCAAGCAGCGATCCCAACTTCGGCCTCCAAGAGCCTTGCGTCCTTACCGCCCGTCCCTACTACACGCTGTGACCGTGTGCGAGAAGTGCGCGGTGGATTCGGATGCAATTCCTGGGAGGTCAGATTCTGACTTTGCCCTGGTCCGAAATCCAGCTTACTCCGGCTTGATCCCGCTCAGTCCGACTTGGTCTCGCTGAATCCGGCGCAATCCCGTTGAATCCGCGGCGCAATCCAGCGCAGTAGCCCTCCCCCAATGGGGCTGAATCTTTCCTTGACCATCCCAACGAAGACCTCCCAGTAGCTGCCTCCCAACGAAGGGAGCGGCGCAGTCAGAAGGTGTCTTCCATTCCCCTACCCTCTTCGCTCCTGCGCGTGCTTGCTGGCAAGGGGGATGGCCGTGCCATTGCTATTTCTGTGCAGGCCCTCTGACGAGCCGGCGAGGCCGGCGACAGCTCACCACAGAGCGCCTGCAACCCGAGCTATCCTATACAGTCAACGCGCCTAGTAAGGACGCGCGCCTTCATATAGGGTACCCTTGTGTCCTTGCCTCTGCGGCCCGTCCTTTGCCGTTTTCACTGGTCGACCGCCGCCCAAACGAGTCCAACTTCGGCCTCCAAGGGTCTTGCGTCCTTACTACCCGTCCTTACTGCACATTTTCACTGTACACCACAGGTTTGAGATCGTCAGCTGCCGTATTGTGCAGCTGCCTCCCAGCGGAGGGCGCACGACGGGCCCCACGTCTCCTGTCACCACCCACCAAACCACCCCAACCCAACCCGAAGGCCTCAATTTGCCCTCCATTTCCAGTGTGGGGGGGTCCGGGAACATCGAACAAACACATATGGAGCCCGTACCCCCCCCCAACCCGCAATTCGGGCCTTCGGGCTGGGTTGGGGTGGTCTGGTAGGTGGCCAACGAAGGGCGCACGACGGAGCCCACGCCTCCTCCTCCTCCTCCTCCTCCTCCTCCTCCTCCTCCTCCTCCTCCTCCTCCTCCTCCTCCTCCTCCTCCTCCTCCTCCTCCTCCCTCCTCCTCCTCGGTCAGGGGGTTTCGTTTAGCGTGTATCCTGAGGGTCGGTGGATACGCGCTAAAAGAGTCCGGCGTTTAGCGTGTACCTTTTAGCTCGCTGTTTAGCGTGTACCTACGAATGCTCGTCGGTTCGTTTAGCGTGTACCTACGAATACTCGTCGGTTTCGTTTAGCGTGTACCTCTGTGCCTCGCCGGGTTTCCAGCGAGGCCCAGGAAGACAGAGGTAAGAGGCCCAAGAGGCCGCCAAGACGGCCCAGGATGGCACGGATTGCTGCCCAAAACGTCCCAAAAGGGACCCAAGAGCGCCAGAGACAGCACAAGAAGGCCCACAAGGAGGCCCACCGTGACCCAGGAGTGCACCCGCCAGGTTGGGTGGGTGGGGGGGGGGGGGCAGGAGGGGAGGGGTGGCGAAAGGCAGGCCGCGCTGCAGGAGGGGCGGGAGGCGGCAGGTACACGCAATACTGACCGCAGCTCCAGCAGAGGGGGGGAAGAACGGCCCAGGGCTCCAAGAGGTGACGTCAAGAGGGCCCCAGAGGATTCCAAGGCAAGCCAGGATGGCTCCAAGAGCAGCCCAGGACGGCCCAAGAACGCGCACGAGCACCCCAAAGGAAGCCCAACAGTGCAGAAGGCACAAGTCTCCAGCAAGACAGCCCCGATTATTGCCGAAAAACCAAAAAAGTGCCCCAAGAGTGCCCAAGATATGTAGCCCAAGAGGGCCTTCAGGGAGGCCTACCGCGATCCATGAGAGCACCTGCCAGGTGGGGGGTGGCCGGGAGGGGAGGGGTGGGGGGCGCTGCAAGAGGGGCGGGGGGCAGGTACACGCTATACTGGCTCTAACTCCAGCAGGTGGGGCAAGGCGGCTCAGGGCTCCATGAGGTGCCTTAAGAAGACCCCAGGATGGCTCCAAGATCAGCCCAGGACGACCCAAGAGGGCCCCCGAGCACCTCAATGAAGGCCCACCAAGGCTTCCAGAGAGGCCTACGTAGGACGACCCAAAGGAGGAAGCCCCAAAAACCGCCACCGCGACCCAGGAGAGCACCCGTCAGGTGGGGAGGCCAGGAGGGGAGGGGTGGGGAAGAGCAGGCGCGCGCTGCAGGAGGGGCGGGGGACAGATACGCACCGTTTTTCTTTGCAAACCGTCCGAACATTTACGGACGGACGTGGCGGTCGAAACCAATCGAAAACCAGTTGTACAATCAAGGGGTCGGGAATCCAGGCAAAACGAGCTCTACCTGGCCAGCGCGAAGACGAGATGGGTAGGGAGGAAGCGGGGAGCGAGGAGAGCGGCATGGGCGGGACATGTGAAATCTGGCACGATGGCGCAACAACAAATGAGCTCATATGTAGGCCGTATGTCAAATGCTCGCGATCCTGGCAGGAACATTCGCCCGAGCTCCTCGCAACTTGATCAATTTCGCCACTCGGGCACCACATCGGATGCTTTGAACCGGGCGAACTATGGGCGTGAGGTCTTCGAGCCCCAGCCGAATCACGAATTCTGGCTTGCCAGAGGCGTCCACTCAAGGGGGAGGAGGAGGAGGAGTGGCTGCTTTTTCATACAGCGCTTCCAGAAAAGCCCAGGACGGCCCAAGTGAGTTCCAAGACGGCCCAAGAATACGCAATGGCAGCCTAGGATGGCCCCGATTGCTGCCCTTGGGGGGGGGGGGCGGCCCTATGAAAAACTGACCATGATGAGGAGGAGGAGGGGGAGGAAGAGGAGGAGGACGAAGAGGAATCGTTGTTTTTTCCATACAGGGCGTCCAGAATAACCCAAGACGGCCTCAGGGAATTCCAAGACGCCAACAATGCGCGATGGCAGCCCAGGATGGCCTCGATTGCTGTCAAAAACGGCCCAACAAATCTCCCAAACCAGCGCCCCAAGATAGCCCAGAGGCCTACAGGAAGGCCAAGCGCGACCCAGGAGAGCACCCGCCAGGTGGGGGGCCGGGAGAGGAGGAGGGGAAGGGCAGGCGCCTGCTGCTGGAGGGGCGGAGGGGCAGGTACACGCTATGCTGGCCCCAGGACCAGCAGGGGGAGCAGGAGAGCCCAGGGCTTCAAGAGGTGACGTCCAGGGGGCTGCAGAGAATTTCCAAGACAGCCCAGGAAGGCTCCAAAAGCAGCCCGGAACGGCCCACGAGGTCCGCCGAGCACCCCAACGAAGGCCCAAACAAGGCTTCCAGAGAGGCCCAGGACAGCCCAAGGGAACTCCAAGAAGGCCCAAGAAGCCACCAAGACAGCCCAGGATGGCCCCTATTGCTGCCCAAAACGGCCGCAAGAGCGCTTACGATAGCCCAAGATGGCCTTCATGGAAGCCCGGCGCGACCCAGGAAAGCAACCGCCAAGAAGGGTGGGGAGGCGGGGTGCAGGTACACGCTATACTGACCCCGGCTCCAGCAAGGGTGGCAGGACGGCTCAGGGCTTCAAGAGGTGGCGTCAAGAGGGCCGCAGAAAATTTCCATGACAGCCCAGGAAGTCTCCAAGAGCAGCCCAGAATGGCCCAAGAGGTCCCACCAACACCTCAAAGAAGGCCCCCTCAGGGCTTCCAAAGAGGCCCAGAAGGGCCCAAGGGAACTCCAGTAAAGCCCAAAAGGCCGCCAAGACAGCACAGGATCCCGACTGCTGCCCAGAATGACCCAAAAGGGCCCCAAGGGCGCCCACGAGGGCCTTCAGGGAGGCCCAGCGCGGATGGGGAGAGCGGGAGAGGCGGGGGGCAGGTACGTACACGCTATACTGGCCCTGGCTCCAGCAGGTGGGGCAGGACGGCTCAGGGCGAGGTGACGTCCAGAGGGCCCCAAGGAAACAGCCCAAGATGGCTTCAAAAGCAGAAAACGGCCCACGAGGTCCGCCGAGCACCCCAAAGAAGGCCCAAACAAGGCTTCCAAAAAGGTCTGGGAGGGCCCAAGGGAGCTCCAAGCAGGCCCAAGAGGCCGCCAAGACAGCCCAGGATGGTCCCCATTGCTGCCCAAAACGGCCCCACGAGCTCTTTACGATTGCCCATAATGGCCTTCATGGAAGCTCAGCGCGACCCAGGTGCAACCGCCAGGAAGGCTGGGGGGGACGGCAGGGGCGGCAGGTACACGCTATACTGGCCCCAGCTCCAGCAGGAAGGGGCAGGACGGCGCAGTGCTTCAAGAGGTGGCGTCAAGAGGGCCGCAGAGCGTTCCAAGACAGCCCAGAGAGGCCCTGAGAGCAGCCCAGAAAAGGCCCAAGAGGTCCGCCCAACACCCCAAAGAAGGCCCCGAAGAGCTTCCAAAGAGGCTCAGGAGGGCCCAAGGGAGCTCCAGTAAAGCCCAAAAGGCCGCCAAGACAGCACAGGATCCCGACTGCTGCCCAAAACGGCCCAAAACGGCCCCAAGGGAGGCCCAACGCGACCCAGGACAGGAAGGACGGGTGGGGGATGGGCGAGAGAGAAAGGTGCAGGTACACGCTATAGTGGCCCTGGCTCCAGCTGGTAGGACAGAACGGGAGACAGCCCAAGATGGTTCCAAAAGCAGAAAACGTCCCAAAAGGGTCCCGAAACACGGTAAAGAGAGCCCAACATGGTTGAAGAGAGGCCCGGGAGGGAGGGCCCAAGGGAACCCAAAGAAGGCCCAAAAGGCCCCCAAGACAGCACAGGATGGCCCCCATTGCTGCCCAAAGCGGCCGCAAGAGCGCCCAATATAGCCCAAGAGGGCCTGCAGGGAAACCCAGCGCGACCCAGGAGAGCAACCGCCAGGAAGGGTGGGGGGGCGAGAAAGGCGGGGGGCAGGTACACGCTATACTGCCCCTGCCTCCACACACACCTGCTGATAGCAAGCCACCCTAACTCTGGAGTGGTGCTAGAAGAGGGCGAACTCCTAGTCGAACGAGGAGCCGCCGTTGAGGTCGAACGTAGCGGCGACGATGGCCAGCCCAAGCCGGCACGCTGCCACCTGCATGGTTCCGCGTCGTTCCGGGGTCCTCCCCGCATCGTAGGTGATCCAACCGGATTTGGCCGTCACCCGGGGCTGGGTGCGCCAGAAGGAGGAAGGAAGGCGTAGATCTCTGGCGATCGCTGCGCGCTCCGTGTCGAAGCGCGGGCAGTCCTGGAACATGTGCCGGAGGCTGGCGAGCGGCTGGCGGCACCATGGGCACGGCGCTGCCTCGCCCCCCCGCGTCGGCGTCTTGGTGGCCCCCGACCGGAAGATGTCGAGGAACTTCTTGTCGCGGTGCGACAGCGATCTGTGCCACTTGGCCCAGACTGCGGTGCTGGAGGCGTCCACGTCGACGCGGGCCACTCCAGCGGCGTCAAGCCTCGTACTGTGTACGCTTTCAAGACAACGTACGCGTGCCCGATTCATCATGAGCTGCGACGTGAGATGCTCGAAGACGACCCGGCAATGCTCCAGGACGACACGATTCAGCACGATGTGGTGCGTGAAACTCTCTACGACGACCCGGAAAGGCTCCAGGGCGACACAAATCAGCGTGAGCTGCAACGTAACTTGCTTGGAGACGACCCGGCAATGCTCCAGGACGGCCCGATTCAGCATGAGCTGCGACGTACGATGCTCGAGGACGACCCGGCAAAGCTCCAGGACGACACGATTCAGCAAGATGTGGTGCGTGAAGCTCTCGACGACGACCCGGAAAGGCTCCAGGACGACACGAATCAGCGTGAGCTGCATCGCACCTTGCTTGGAGACGACCCGGCAATGCTCCAGGACGACACGATTCAGCACGATGTGGTGCGTGAAACTCTCTACGACGACCCGGAAAGGCTCCAGGACGACACAAATCAGCGTGAGCTGCAACGTAACTTGCTTGGAGACGACCCGGCAATGCTCCAGGACGGCCCGATTCAGCATGAGCTGCGACGTGAGATGCTCGAGGACGACCCGGCAAAGCTCCAGGACGACACGATTCAGCACGATGTGGTGCGTGAAACTCTCTACGACGACCCGGAAAGGCTCCAGGGCGACACAAATCAGCGTGAGCTGCAACGTAACATGCTTGGAGACGACCCGGCAATGCTCCAGGACGGCCCGATTCAGCACGAGCTGCGACGTGAGACCCTCGACGTTGACCCGGGGGGGCTCCAGGACGAGCCAAGTCAGCGCGAGGTGCGGCGTGAGAAACTCCCGGCGCTGGCTCCATAGCTCGGTAGACGGGCTCTGCAGCTCCAGGTGATGAGCGTGATGCTTGGCCTAGTCACCGCGAGAGGCCCTGGTCGCGCCGGGCCTTCGCGAGGACGCGGTAGACGAACTGGTTGTTGGCCTCCTGGGCGCGCCGCTCAGGGGTCCAGCTGGCGCGAGCCCTCCGCGCCTTCTGTTGCAGGAGCGTCTTGTTCTTCTGGTAGTACTTGCGCTCCCGGGCCAGGATCGCGTCGCGGTGACGCTGGCGGCTCTCCCGCTTGAGCTTGGCTAGGCGCTCGGGGTTCCGAGAGCGCCAGTCGGCGTTGCACTTCCGCTGGGCAGCGGCATGTGTGGCCCGTTGGGCCTTGGCTTTCTTGGGGCCCAGGGAGCTCGCGAGGAACTGCGCCCGGGAGACGGTCTGCTTGTTTGCCCTCGCCGTGCAGGGGCAGCGCCGGGCCTCGGCGAGGGTGCGATTCAGGCCGCACCGCACGCACTTGTAGGTAGCGACGGTGCCCTGCTTGGTCTCGCGGCGGCTGCCCTCCGTGCCGATGAGGTCGCAGAAGGCAGGCTGGATGCGTGGGCTGCGCTTGGCCAGGAAGGCCTGCCAGCGGGCAAAAGCGGCAGCGCCGCGGCGGGGGGCGTTGACGCCGGCGGCGGCGCGGGCGGCTCGGCCGCCGTCGGCGGCGCGGGGGGCGTTGGTGCCTTGACAGCTGCGCCAGTGGCGATTCGCCTCGGTGCGGCGCGCATTGCAGGTGGCGGCTGTGGGTTTCCATCCGCACGAAGGGCAGATGAGGTGGTGGCCGGCTGTGGGCAGTGGTACCTCTTGTTCCTCGGGGCAGCCCAGGAAGCTCCGGGCGCGGGCGGTGCGGCCACGGCGCGAGGAGGGGGCAGAGAGACCCAGCAGGCTGCGGGCGGCGTCCAGGTCGCTGTCGTCGTCGTCGCTGTCGTCCGTGATCCCGAGGAGCTCCTTGGCAGCCTCGAGGTCGGGGTCGGTGGTGCCGCGGCCGGCGCCAGTGAAGTCGGTGGGGTAAGGCAGCGCAGCGGCGCGCCACTCCTTGTCCTTCTCCTTGGTGAGGGGGGCCGCCGCCTTGGGGCGCAGCCACTGGTAGTGGCGGCTCTCGAGGACGAGCCACACCGCCTGCTTGTACTTGCTCCCGGCGGGGGGCTTCGGCGGGAGGTAGAGGGTCCAGTGGCCACTGGGCGACTTGGCCCAGATGGCAAACTCCGTGGAGCTGCCCACGGCGGTGGCGTGCACGGTCATGGACGTGGCGGCCTGCCCGGCTGTGGAGAGCTTCTCGACGATGTCGGCAATCTGGGGCACGTCGTAGTGCTTGGGGCGTTTCCGGAGCTCGGAGGCCATGATCAGGCGCAGGGAGGCCTGCATGTTCCCGCCGGGGTCGGTGTCCTCTTTCTTCAGCGCTTTCGGGTGGCGGCTCAGCGCGTGGATACCACGCGAGCTGGAGAGGTAGAAGCAGTCCCCCGCTCCGCCGCAGTCCACTGTGTCGAAATGCTCAGCGAATGGCTTGGGCGGTGTGGTCTTGGCTTTCTTGTCCTTCGGGGCGCCAGCGAGCGGGGGGCCCTTGCGGCCCGTGCCGGCTGCAGGCGTGCTGGCTGGAGGCGTGCCGGCTGGCTCGGCAGCAGGGGCCGCCTCGGCCGTGTCCATGGCGTGGTCGCCGCCCTCTGCTTCTGGGGTCGGTGCAGCAGGGGCGTGCTTGCTGGCAGGGGCGCCCCATGTACTCTTTGGCTTGGACGCCTCGTCGTCCCTCTTCTTCTTGGGGCCCGAGAGGACCATGGAGACGGTCACTCCTGAGCTGAACTGGAAAGCCGATCGGTCAGGGCAATCCGCAAGGTCGCCGCGGAAAAACCAACGGCGACGACCAGACCTGGCCACGCTCGATACGTTGACGAAGCCCCGCGCGGTGATCCACGCCTCGACCTCATCGGTGTTTGTCCACCCTTCAGGGGCCCGCTGGATGCACCATCTGGGGCCGACACTGTCTGCGTCAATGATCACCTTCTTTGCGACCACACCGAGCGCCGCGTCGAGGGACGGGCGGAAGACGAGGCGGCCGGAGGCGCCGGTAGCAAGTTGGAGCACCCTGTTGTAGTACACGGATGCCGTCTCCTCGGACTTCTGGGGGAACCAGCGTGGCACGAGCGTGGTGCCTTGCTCGTTGCAGAAGACGCCGGTGGGGAGGGATCCGCCCATGATGTCGGAGCGGCCCGTCTCGCGGACGATGGCTACGCAGGTCACCTCCGACGTGTAGTCGATGGCGGCCTTCACGCGCTGGATGTGCTTGCACGCCTCCGGGCTGAAGACGAGGGCGGGGAGCGCCAAGGGCTCCTGGCGCGCACGCCCGAAAAGGGCATTCTCGGCGTAGGCGTCGGACACCGTGATGCGGACCGAGAAGGTGGCGACCTTCGGGGCGGGCTCGGCGGTGTCGTCCTTCACGGACTGGGGTAGCTTGGACCGGACGGGCGCGCCTGAGCCCACGCCCTCGAGCCAAGCCTTCTGCGTAGTGGGACCCCGCGGTCCTTCGACGAGCACGTCGGACAGCGGCGCCTTGGCGGAGTTGAACACGACGAAGGTGCAGGCGACGGTGCAGCCTGTGGCCCGGCGCCACTCCATCACCTTGTCGTAGTCGTGGTCGGACTGGCACGCGATCACGACGGGCTCGATGATCGTTGCCTTGGGGGCGGCTGTGGCCTGGATGATCTTGGCACCGCCCCAGTCGAGCGCCCACACCTTGTGGAACGAGCGCTGGCCCTGCGGCGGTGGCGAAAGTTTTGCTGCAGCTGCCGGTGCGGGCCCTCGGGGCCCAGCAGGCGAGCTGGATGGCGGGGCGCCCGCCCTGGCGAGCACTGCCGTGAGCTTCTCGACGATCTGGCTCGTGGACGGCGGCTCCTTGAGGCGGTCAGCCTGGGCAAGGAGGCCCCGGAGCTCTGTCAGGAGCGGCGGCTCATGGGCGACCCGTCGAGGTCGCCGCGGTTTCTTCGGCGTAGTAGGTGAAACTGGTGCAGCCGGCTGGCGCTGCTGGTTCCCCGACAGCGAGTTCAGCTGCTTCTGCATGTTTGCCATGGCAAAGTGCAAGTGCTGGAGTTTCTTGCCCCTCGAACTCTGAGCTGCATTTTTGCCTCCCCTGTCACCTCCTCCCCAGAGGGGGTCACGAATGTGAAACATATCAAAACTGTGAAACGTGTTCAAGCCATTGGAGCACGGCGCCACCGCCAGCTCATCCCCTCGTCGTGGGGTTCCGCTTTTGACCACTAGGTTCGCCTCGCCGGAGGGAGCCAGCGACCCGACGCGCCCGAGCTCCGCCATGAAGGGGAGCAGGAGGGTGTGGTCTTCCGCGTCCTGCCCCTGCCTCCAGCAGGTGGGGCAGGACGGCCCAGGGAAAGGTGGCACCAAGAGAGCCCCAGGGAATCCCAAACAGCCCAAGATGGTTCCAAAAGCAACCCAGAAAAGCCCAAGAGGGTCCCGAAAAAAACCATGCAGTTATGGCGGAGATATTGATGATGATGCTGGCGGCGGCGGCGGTGTTTGTGATGACTCTTGTGAATGGCTTGGGCGATTTCCAGGTTTCCTGAGTGTCGGTGCAGGCTCGTTGACGACTGTGGAATCCTATGAGATCCCTTTGGAATCCTATAGGAGCCCCGATGGAATCCTATAGGATCCCTAAGGAATCCTATAAGACCCCTATAGAATCCTATTGAATCCCTACGGCATCCTATAGGATCCCAATGAAATCCTATTAGATCCCGATGGGATCCTGACGCAAGGTGCTGTAGAGGACCTTCTAAAAGGTGCTGTAGAGCTACTACAGAACCGCCTATTGAATGGCGAGCCCCCCGACGCCCTGGGGATGCACATGTACGTCGCGTGAGGGTTTAGGCGTAGATGCGCAAAATCTCAAACCTGAGATGCCCGCCTCCTCCAACCTCTCTCTAATAACCAACAGTCTCGGAACGGCTTATTGCAAACTCCCTCTTCAATATCACTGAGTTTGCCAGCAGGGGGCTAGGGCAACGTCCACATTCTGCTAGAGCCAATTGTGCGACTGGCAAGTCGTACGTAGGTGCTTGCCTGGGAGGTGGCCTTGGCGCGTGGTGTCAGGCCGCGGACAAGCAAGAGCCGAATTTTGAGACCTCTAGTTGAAACGTTTATGATATTAGGCTGCACTGCTGCTGTCTCTGGATTTGGGTCTGCTCCCAACGGACAGGGCTGCCAGACCTCATGGACGACCGGGGGCAGCTGCGGATGTTGCGGACTTGCTTGCGCCGCCAGCGAAAAAGGACGACCAGCAAGGAGCAGGAGGGAAGGAAGAGAATAAGGGGGGAAGATGATCAGTCAGCTCTGTGCTGGGCGACTTCTATATAAACACAAATGCATTCGGCTCGCGATGGAATCGCTTGAGCTTAGCCTGTGGCCTGTTTGGGGTGCGTGTCACGCTCCGGGTAATTAAACCCTTTACCGGCGCGTCCCGCGTGCGCGAGGCATTAGAGCTTGCACCAGCAGGCATATTACCAGCGCCGACAGCTTCGGCTGAAAAGGCTGTCGAAGGCCTGCATAAGTTAGGCATTCTCCCATGCTTCAGAGTGGGAAAAAACGTGAGAATTATAGCCAGAGCGCAGTATCCCCAAACAGGGTTTTTAGACCCACTGCGGTTTCCAAGGTCGATTGCGCGCCCGTCCAGTGCGGGCTGGCATGGCATGTTAAAACATGCCTCCTCCTCCTCCTCCTCCTCTTCCTCCTCGTCCACCTCCTCTTCATCCCGAAAGGCATCTCGGAGCCCAGAGTTGCGAAGATGTCTCCAGCGTAACGGGCTGGACCACCTCGCGCGCGGCATCTCGGACCCCAGAGTTGCGACGATGTCTCGGGCGAAACGTGCTGCGAGGAAGTCTCAGGCGAAACGGGCCGGACCACCTCGAGCGCGGCGTCTCAGAGCTCCGAGTTGCGGGGGCCTCCTGGTGCCTCCTGGGGCCTCCTGGGGACCTCCTGGAGCTTCCTCCTGGGCCTCCTGTGGCCTCCTGGGGTTTCCTGAAGCGTCTTGGGGCTCCCAGGGGGGATATCTAACCTGTGGCCGTTTGGGCCCCTCAAAATGGAGGGGGGGCACAAGAGCAGGAAAATCAACGAATCGACACCGGATGTGTATTAACTTGACACGTTCTGATAGGCGGCCTCCTGGGGCCTCCTGGGAGCCTCCTGGGAATCTCCTGCGGACCCCTGGGGCCTGTCCTGGGCGTCCTGCGGCCTCCTGAAGCTCTCTGGGGCCTCCCCCTCCTCCTGCCTGCTCCCTCATGCACATCATCCGCCTCCTCCTTCTCCCTTCCATCTCCTCCTCCTCCTCCTCCTCCTCCTCCTCCTCCTCCTCCTCCTCCTCTTCATCCCGAACGGCATCTCGGAGCCTAGAGTTGCGAGGATGTCTCCAGCGTAACGGGCTGGACCACCTCGCGCGCGGCATCTCGGACCCCAGAGTTGCGACGATGTCTCGGGCGAAACGTGCTGCGAGGAAGTCTCAGGCGAAACGGGCCGGACCACCTCGAGCGCGGCGTCTCAGAGCTCCGAGTTGCGGGGGCCTCCTGGTGCCTCCTGGGGCCTCCTGGGGACCTCTGGAGCTTCCTCCTGGGCTTCCTGTGGCCTCGTGAACTCCACCTGGGGTTTCCTGAAGCCTCTTGGGGCTCCCAGGGGGGATATCTAACCTGTGGCCGTTTGGGCCTCTCCAAGGACAAGAGCAGGAAAATCAACGAATCGACACCGGATGTGTATTAATTTGACACGTTCTGATAGGCGGCCTCCTGGGGCCTCCTGGGAGCCTCCTGGGAATCTCCTGGAGACCCCTGGGGCCTGTCCTGGGCGTCCTGCGGCCTCCTGGTGCCTCCTGGGGCCTCCTGGGGACCTCCTGGAGCTTCCTCCTGGGCCTCCTGTGGCCTCCTGAACTCCACCTGAGGTTTCCTGAAGCCTCTTGGGGCTCCCAGGGGGGATATCTAACCTGTGGCCGCTTGGGCCCCTCAAAATGGAGGGGGGCACAAGAGCAGGAAAAATCAACGAATCGACACCGGATGTGTATTAACTTGACACGTTCTGATAGAGGGCCTCCTGGGGCCTCCTGGGAGCCTCCTGGGAATCTCCTGGGGGCCCCTGGGGCCTGTCCTGGGCGTCCTGCGGCCTCCTGGACCTCTCTGGGGCCTCCTGAGGCTCGCAGGGTCCCATGGAGGATATGTAACATGTGGTCTTCTGGGCCCCCAGGCTGGACCACCTCTTGCGCAGCATCTGAGAGCTCAGAGTTGCGAGAATGTCTTGTGCGAAACAGGCCGGACCACCTTGCGCACGGCATCTCAGAGCTCAGAGTTGCAAGGATGTCTCAGGCGAGACGGGCCGGACCACCTCGCGCAGGGCATCTCAGAGCTCAGAAGTTCGAGGATGTCTCAGGCGAAACGGGCCGGACCACCTCTCGCGCGGCATCTCCAAAGTCAGAGTTTCGAGGATGTCTCAGGCGAAACGGGCCGGACCACCTCGCGCAGGGCATCGCAGAGCTCAGAGTTTCGAGGATGTCTCAGGCGAAACGGCCCGGACCACCTCTCGCACGGTACCTCGGGGCTCAGAATTTCGAGGATGTCTCAAGCGAAACGGCCCTTGTCCACCTCTCGCGCGGCGCCCCAGAGCGCAACTTTTCGAGGATGTCTCAGGCGAAACGGCCAATCCCGGCCAACTCAGAAACGAGAGTTGTGAGGATGTCTCAGGCGAAACGGCCAAAACCATAAAATTTGTGTGTGAGGATGTTTTTGCTCCGCCTTCCCTCGGCCGGAGTTAATTTGTATCACAACAGCACCCCGTTCAGCAAGTTGGTTGGGGAAAAATCGTGACGTCGGATGTTTGGGGAGGGCGGAAGGCAGTGCGCGCATGACGGATGCTGAGGCGGCAGAAACGACGACGGCGGGGACGGGGAGGCGGAGGCAGAGGCGCAGCAGCGGGAGGCGGGAGGCGGGAGGAGGGAGGAGGGAAGAGGAACCAGGCGGGAAGTGGGAAGAGGGAGGCGGGAGAAGGAATGAGAGAGGTTGTGATTGGAGCTCCTGTGCTACGAAACGTCTCAGGCAGAATGGGCCAGACCATCTCGCGCGCAACATCTTCGAGCCTCGCATTGCGAGGATGGCTCAATCGAAACGGGCCGGACCACCTCGCGAGCGACATCTTGGAGCTCAGTATTGGAAGGATGTCTCAAACGAAACGGGCCGGACAATCTTTCGCACACGTTTTGACAAGTCCACATCGCACTCGCTTCCCGTTAGGTCCTCTCCTGCAACTCCCTTCCTTCTCCCTCCTCCTCCTCCTCCTCCTCCTCCCCCTCCTCCTGCTTGCTCCCTCATGCACAGCATCCGCCTCCTCCTTCTCCCTTCCATCTCCTCCTCCTCCTCCTCCTCCTCCTCCTCCTCGACCTCCTCTTCATCCCGAACGGCATCTCGGAGCTTAGAGTTGCGAGGATGTCTCCAGCGTAACGGGCTGGACCACCTCGCGCGCAGCATTTCTGACCCCAGAGTTGCGACGATTTCTCGGGCAAACGTGCTGCGAGGAAGTCTCAGGCGAAACGGGCCGGACCACCTCGAGCGCGGCGTCTCAGAGCTCCGCGTTGCGGGGGCCTCCTGGGGCCTCCTGGGGACCTCCTGGGGCTTCCTCCTGGGCCTCCTGTGGCCTCGTGAACTCCACCTGGGGTTTCCTGAAGCCTCTTGGGGCTCCCAGGGTGGATATCAAATCTGTGGCCGTTTGGGCCTCTCCAAATGGAGGGGGGGCACAAGAGCAGGAAGAATCAACGAATCGACACCGGATGTGTATCAATTTGACACGTTCTGATAGGCGGCCTCCTGGGGCCTCCTGGGAGCCTCCTAGGAATCTCCTGGGGACCCTTGGGGCCTGTCCTGGGCGTCCTGCGGCCTGCTGGAGCTCTCTGGGGCCTCCCCCTCCTCCTGCCTGCTCCCTCATGCACATCATCCGCCTGCTCCTTCTCCCTTCCATCTCCATTTCCTCCTCCTCCTCCTCCTCCTGCACCTCCTCCTCTTCAACCCGAACGGCATCTCGGAGCCTAGAGTTGCGAGGATGTCTCCAGCGTAACGGGCTGGACCACCTCGCGCGCGGCATCTCGGACCCCAGAGTTGCGACGATGTCTCTGGCGAAACGTGGCGCGAGGAAGTCTCAGGCGAAACGGGCCGGACCACCTCGAGCGCGGCGTCTCAGAGCTCCGAGTTGCGGGGGCCTCCTGGGACCTCCTGGTGACCTCCTGGGGCTTCCTCCTGGGCTTCCTGTGGCCTCCTGGACCCCACCTGGGGTTTCCTGAAGCCTCTTGGGGCTCCCAGGGGGGATGTCTAACCTGTGGCCGTTTGGGCCTCTCCAAATGGAGGGGGGGGGCACAAAAGCAGGAAAAATCAACGAATCGACACCAGATGTGTATTAACTTGACACGTTCTGATAGGCGGCCTCCTGGGGCCTCCTGGGAGCCTCCTGGGAATCTCCTGGAGACCCCTGGGGCCTGTCCTGGGCGTCCTGCGGCCTCCTGGTGCCTCCTGGGGCCTCCTGGGGACCTCCTGGAGCTTCCTCCTGGGCCTCCTGTGGCCTCCTGAACTCCACCTGAGGTTTCCTGAAGCCTCTTGGGGCTCCCAGGGGGGATATCTAACCTGTGGCCGCTTGGGCCCGTCAAAATGGAGGGGGGGGCACAAGAGCAGGAAAAATCAACGAATCGACACCGGATGTGTATTAACTTGACACGTTCTGATAGAGGGCCTCCTGGGGCCTCCTGGGAATCTCCTGGGGGCCCCTGGGGCCTGTCCTGGGCGTCCTGCGGCCTCCTGGACCTCTCTGGGGCCTCCTGAGGCTCGCAGGGTCCCATGGAGGATGGAGGATCTGTAACATGTGGTCTTCTGGGCGCCCAGGCTGGACCACCTCTTGCGCAGCATCTGAGAGCTCAAAGTTGCGAGAATGTCTTGTGCGAAACAGGCCGGACCACCTTGCGCACGGCATCTCAGAGCTCAGAGTTGCAAGGATGTCTCAGGCGAGATGGGCCGGACCACCTCGCGCAGGGCATCTCAGAGCTCAGAAGTTCGAGGATGTCTCAGGCGAAACGGGCCGGACCACCTCTCGCGCGGCATCTCCGAAGTCAGAGTTTCGAGGATGTCTCAGGCGAAACGGGCCGGACCACCTCGCGCAAGGCATCGCAGAGCTTAGAGTTTCGAGGATGTCTCAGGCGAAACGGCCCGGACCACCTCTCGCACGGCACCTCGGGGCTCAGAATTTCGAGGATGTCTCAAGCGAAACGGCCCCTGTCCACCTCTCGCGCGGCGCCCCAGAGCGCAACTTTTCGAGGATGTCTCAGGCGAAACGGCCAATCCCGGCCAACTCAGAAACGAGGGTTGTGAGGATGTCTCAGGCGAAACGGCCAAAACCATAAAATTTGTGTGAGGATGTGTTTGCTCCGCCTTCCCTCGGCCGGAGTTAATTTCTACCACAACAGCACCCCGTTCAGCAAGCTGTTTGGGGAATGATACACATGCCGCTTCAAACTTAAAGCCGAACTATAAACGATATTTAACAAAAAGGCCCGATGGAAAGAGAAAGGTTCAGAAATTTGAATCCAAACGTGGCGCACAAAGCCGCGTTCAAACACGAGGGAGAGGGAGGAGGAGGCGGAGGAGGAGAGGAGAGGAGAGGCGGGGTGCATGATCGCAAAGACTCGAGAGAGCTTCAGAGGACTTCAAAACGTGATTTCATG